TAAGAACTCTAAGAACTTTTAGAAGTAAGAAGGAGGACGGCGAGATCGAAGCATTTATTGCTTTCGGCCTGGGCTTTCTTCTTGGGAAAAAATCCAATAAAATTTTGCCACAATCGTAATTATTACGTGGCATTAGGTGTACAAAATTGATTGGCGCTTTGGATTCTTTTCTAACGACGTTCAATGTAACAGTCATGCGCGACAGAAAATCCGTGCGTGGGATTGGTGACAGCGCGTGACGTATTCGTCGGAGCGCGGCGCTCGCGTGCGCGAATTGAATCGTTCTAGAACTTTCGATTGTCCGTTGCCGGTAACGACAACTTGTTTGCGTGTAACGACTTGTTTTTAAAAAGAACAAAGAACGCCAAATCGCTGATTTTTATCGAGGATTTAGATCATGCTCGAGATGAAATCACGAGCTCAATTTATGCATGCGTTCAATGACAATTACTGTCGGTCGACTGAAAGAATTCTTGCTTTTCTTTTCGAATTACCGATCTCAAACAATAAATAAATAAATAAAGTTATCACTCTTATTGATAAATGTGTTTCCTTCAATCATCAACCAAGAAACATAACAATGGCGACGAGGAAAAAGATATTGAATAACAGTCATTGCATCGATCACATCGTGACTCTCAGTCATAACCTTTTCCGACAATGTCGGAGATAAAGGAAGCCCTCCTAGCTTTTATGCAACAACAAGCTCAACTTAAAGGATAGCAAGAATTTTTCATCCAACAAAATGCGTTTGCTGCCCAACTTTCACAAGCTTTTGCTTCAACCATAACCTCACATAAAGAGATGAAGACTGAATCACTCGCAAGCGGCATCACGGAATTCGACCCAGAGAACGGATTAACATTCGAAGTTTGGTTTGTTCGCTACGAAGAATTATTTAACGTCGATGCACGAGACCTGACGATGCCGCCAAGGCTGTTATTGCATAAATTGAATACGTGTCATAAACAATATATCGATTACATCTTACCCAGTCAACCGAAAGATTTCACTTTAGAAGACACGGTTAAGAAGCTCAAACAAATGTTCGGAAAAAAGATTTTATTGTTTAACCAACGATATAATTGCATAAATACTATAAAATTTCCAATGATTTTGTTGCTTATGCAGCGCAGATAAACAAAAAATGCGAAGAGTTCCAAATCTCAAAGATAACTGCTAATCAATTTAAATGTTTAATTTTTGTATGTGGATTGCGCTCTCCTACTGATGCTGACGTCCGCATCAAACTTTTGAATCTTATCGATTCCAAACCAGATACTATTTCCTTAGAGGATCTTACTGTGGAATATCAACGTCTTCTCAACTTAAAGGCTGACACTTCTTTAATTCAAAATGCAAAACCACTAAATGTAATCGCAGCCCAATCTAAACAGAAACAAATTAAAACTGCAAAATATAGTAAAAACAAAAAATCACAAAACCACTCAAATCAAAATTAAAAACAGCCTTCTAGCCTTGTTGGTTTTGCGGTCAGCTTCATTATTCTAAAGATTGCATATACAAAAATCATCTATGTAAAAATTACAATACTGTGGATCACAAGGACGGTTACTGTAACTCAAGAAAGAAAACGAAGAGCAATTCGATTAATAATGATTCCATGTCCACAAAAGCTATAACATCAGCAGTAAATAAAATCAACGAGACATTTTTGCGCAAATATGTCAATGTCACGATAAATTCCAAAACAGTCAAGCTACAGTTGGACACCGGTTCTGACATCATGATAATTTTAAAGGATACATGAAAACTTTTAGGTCAACTATAAGGTAAACTTTCCAAATGTATCGCAAAAGACGCTTCAGCAATACGTTAAGCATTTTATATGAAGTCGAAGTTGCATAGTCTCATTAGATAACGTTTTACGTCAATTACGTTGTTACATCACTCCAAACACAGAATTGAATTAGATTAGATTGGCTATATGCTTAGATCTCTTTGGATTAGATTGGCTATATGCTTTTGATTTATGACAATCCAATTAACAGTTTTTGCAATCATGTCACTAATCCTCAAGTTACAATATCACGACTTCAAGACTTACCACAAAAGTTTTCTAACGTTTTTAACACTAAATTAGGATGCTGCACTAAAACAAAAATTTCTCTTCATCTTAAAAACGATGTCAGACCTGTATTCCGACCTAAACGACCAATCGCTTACTCAATTCTTCCATTGGTCGATGCAGAACTTGAACGTTTTATACAGGCAGAAATTATCTCTCTAGTGAGCTACTCGGATTGGGCAGCACCAATCGTTGTCGTTGGCAAGAAAAATGATCAAATCCATATATGCGCTGATTTTTCTACTGGTCTAAATAATTCTTTGGAACCAAATCGTTATCCATTACCTCATCCAGACGAGATTTTTACAAAACTATCAAATTGTAAGTACTTCAGTCAAATCGACCTTTCAGACGCATTCTTACAAATCCAAGTAGATGAGGATTCAAAACATCGTTTGACGATAAACACACACCGCGGTCTCTTCATTTACAATCGTTTACCTTTTGGCGTCATTGTGACCCCTGGCGAATTTCAAATCATTATGGACGCCATGATCGCTGGTCTCGACAAAGTATTCGCGTATATTGATGATCTCGTCGTTGGAAGGTGAACAATTGAAGAACATGATCTTAATTTAAATGAATTACTCAAGCGCACGACTACGGATTCCACGTACGCATAGAAAAATGTAAATTTTTCACTACAGAGATAAATTATCTAGGATATATAATCGACGAACAAGGATTACATTCAGATCCTAAGAAAATCTCCTCGATTGTCAATATGCCTGCACCTACAGATCTTACTACACTACGTTCTTTTTTAGGTATCATAAATTATTACGAACGCTTTATTCCAAATATACATGTTTTACGACGACCTTTGGATAAACTTCTCAAAAAGGATACTACTCAAAAATGAAATTGGAACCAAGCATGCCAAGAATCATTTGAACGTTTCAAACAAATTTTCCAATCCAAATTGCTTCTCACTCATTTCGATCCAAAGCATGAAATCATCGTAGCCATTGATGCTTCTCAATATGGTATTGGTATCTGCATTCTACATATTAGGTACAACTTTGCTTCCGCCGTTTTTTTCCCAAATTCGAGGCTTTATTGTAAAAAACTGGTCATACATTTATGATTCAAAGTATTGTTCATCGTTGGCCACTACTTTCTCCCATACGAATCCCGCGTCGAAAAAACTGGTCATCTTTTGAGGCGATCCACGAATCGATCCAATTTTTTACTTCTTCATAAAACCGGAAGTGCTGGTCAGCCATGTCGTGTGCCATTGATCGAAACAAGTGATAGTCAGAGGGAGCAACGTCTGGAGAAGACGGCGGGTGGGGTACTTCCCATTTCAACGTTTCCAAGTATGTTTTGACCACTTTCGCAACATGGAGTCAAGCATTGTCATGCTGCAAAATCACTTTATGTGTCTCTCATTGTATTGCGGTCGTTTGTCTTTCAATACTGAGCTCAAACGCATCAATTGTGTTCGATACTGATCGCCTGTGATTGTTTCAATCGGTTTTAACGGCTCATAATACACGCCGAGCTGGTCCTACCAAATACAGAGCATGACCTTGGAGACCGTGAATATTCGGTTTGGTCGTCGACGTGGAAGCATGGCCGGGAACTCCCCATGATTTTCTGCGCTTAGAATTATCGTAATGAACTCATTTTTCGTCTCCAGTCACAATGCGATGCAGAAATCCCTTCCGTCTTTGCCTTTCAAGCAGCTGCTCACAAGCAAACAAGCCGTTCAACATCTCTCGGCTTCAAATCGGACGGCCCCCAATTTCCTTGCTTCTGAATCACTCCCATTGAGTCGTTTTGAAATGGCTTGTTGAGTCACTCCCAATGATCGTGCCAATTCTTCTTGATTTTGATACGAGTCTTGATCAAGTAATGCCTCCAATTCTGCATCTTCGCAAACCTTCTCGCTATGCCGGTCTTCGACGTCAAAATCACCGTTCTTGAAGCATTGTTCTTGAAACCACTCACGACACGTTCTTTTACTAATAGCGGCTTCACCATAAGTATTTGAGAGCATTCGATGAGCCTCAGCCGCAGATTTCTTCATATTGAAGCAGAAAATTAAAACCTCCCGCAAATGATGACAATTTGGCTCGTAAACTGACATTTTCAATCGAGAATAACTTTATGATGCAGACACAAATCGACTAATGTTTCTATGGGGTTATATTGACAGAGTTTGCCCAAGTTTATTATATGACGTCTATGATCTATTTATTTCGACCACCACTTACCGCTAAAGCCATCTATAGGAAAACAAAGTTGTACCTAATAAGTCAAAGCAATTAGTCACACTGCCAGAAATCTCATGGAAACTGAAAAAAAATATAGTCAAATCGAGAAAGAAGGCCTTGTATTAATAATTGCTGTCACGAAATTTCACAAAATATTTGGACACAAGTTCACCTTTCAGATAGATAAGCCTCTTATGACGATTTTCGGAAACAAGAAAAGTGTATCTGTTTATATTGCTATCGACTTCAACGTTGGGTACTTCAATTATTTGCCTACGATTTGAAATCGAATATGTCAAAACGTCTGAATGGAACATATGAACGTGCCATTGCACGTTCTTATGTATATATTGGGATAGACAAGGAAATCGAGCAGTTCGTCAAGGCTTGTCATAACTGCGCTTTAGCTGCAAAATCCCCAGTTAAAGTTCCACTTTTAAGCTGGCACACCTACGTATCCTTGACGTCTTTACGCAGATTATGCTGGACTCATCAACGGGGAATATTATCTAATCATTGTCGACGTTTTTTCAAAATGGCCAGAAATTTATCCAACCAAAGCTATCACAACTCAACGCACTGTCGAAATCATGGAGGATATTTTCGCTCGTTTTGGTATACCGGAAACTCTGATTACCGATAATGGAACTCAGTTTACTTCCGAAACATTCCAATCATTTTGTCTATCATACGGTATACAGCACTTACGTATACCGCCTTTTCATCCCAGCTCAAACGGCCAAGCCGAGAGATTTGTGGATACCTTTAAGAGGGGATCAAAAAACTCACTGGTGGGGAGAACATCCGCAACCAATTACCTATATTTCTTAAACAATACAGATCCACACCTAACGTAAACGTTTCTAACAAACTCTTTCTTGCTGAGGCACTGATGGGCAAACTTATGCGCACAGTTCTGGATTTACTAAACCACCCATCCGACAACAGCTGTAGGAAGACGACACTAAACTACGTCAAGAACAACAACCGTAAACATGGAGTAATATCCAAGGCATTTGGATTAGATTCAGAAATTTATGTCAAGATCTATAATAACAATAAATGGAAATAAATTCCAGGAAAAATTATAGAACGCATCGGAGTTTTATATAATGTAATAGTCCAGACGAAACAACGCTTAGGGCTCATGCAAATCAATTGAAACCCCGTTTTTCTGTTGAAACTACTAAAGAATCTCCACAAGATAATCAGATGCCATTAGACATTTTATTGGATACCTTTGATCTTTCAATTGAAGGGCAAGCTAAACCGGAGATAACAATCCTAGAGTCTCAATCCGCAACTCTGGACAACATCTCCGACGTTGACTGTTCTACAATTAATCAAGAGTCTGTTTCAGATCTACCATTACAGCCACTCAGACGCTCTAGTCGTAAGAGACGCTCTCCAATATGATACGAGAACGTAGGATGTTCTTTAAAAAGAAGAGGAGGTGTTGCCGCCAAATAAGACAGAGAACAGCATTAAAAACGAAAAACAAGAACGAACTCAACTGATACAGTTCACTCAACTTCGTTCATCTTATATCCAATATTTTAGAATATACAAATAAAGTTATCACTCTTATTGATAATCATTGTATTTCCTTCAATCATCAACCAAGAAACATAACACTATATGAAAATTGTAATTGAATAATTACGTAAGAAAAAATAATATATTGCATGAAAATTGTAATTAAATGTGAAATTGTAATTTAATAAATGTACACGCACGCACGCACGCACGCACGCACGCACGCAACGGATATAACAAATCATGTTTTAATACCGTGTGGCTGTTATTTAATTGACTGATATTTAATTGACGGCCTATTACACGTGTACTAGTTGTAGCATCTTCCTCGATTATGTCCAAAATCATTTTTTCCTTTTCGATTCTTATTCGGCTTTCGGCTTATTCGATCACGACCAACGTCAATTTTGGGTTTTGGCATTAAACAATTACTATTTCGAATTCTTTGATCTAATCTTTCGAAAATTCTTCGGTCCCACCCGAAGAACTTTCGAAAGTTTTCTAAAAGATAATGTGTGTAACACACACGCGCAGCTTTCAATGTAGATGGAAGCTGAACTACTGGGCATTTTTTTGGGTGACAGAGTTATCAATCCCACTTTTTTACTAGATATTTTGACGGTAAAAAATACAAAAATCTCTTGATTGATAGCAATATGTATCAAAACATAGTAATGTGATATAGTTTTTTACAGGGTAGAAGTTACGTCGAATTTTTAAGACAAAGGCTCCCAGATGCTTTGGAAGAAATTCCTGTTCTGCAGAGGACAGTTATGTTTTTTCAACAGGAGGGAGGCAAGCACCACCGCAAGCATACTGAGACATAACTAATTTTCTAAATGAACGTTTTCCTGGTCGCTGGATAGGCCAATATGGGCCAATCAGATGATCTGCGCGGTACGAGAAATTTTTAATTTAGAAAGACAGGAGAGGAAAATATGAAAAAGGAAATGCATTAATATATATTGTATAATACATATTAATTATTAATAGGATTTTAACCTGATTTGACATCGCTGGACTTTTTTCTTTGGAGTCATTTGAAGAAAATTGTATATGCAATGGAGCCCGCTTCAACTGAAGAAGTTATTGGAAGGATGCAAATAGCTATACAAACTATTGATGAAGCAATGGTTCGACGCAAATTTAATTCTTTATGCGAAAGCGTGCATTGAGGCTCGCGGGGCTCATTTTGAGCAATTACTTTAATAAATCTTTATAAGACTTATTACTAAAAAGCAATCCTTTTTAGGACTAGAAATTTTCGCACAACAGTTCTTTTCAGGAACACTAATATTTTAAAACGTTACACACATACGAGGTGTGGCTATTAAATAACGAGACTGACGCTGCTACAGAAGAAGTACGCATGCGCCAAACACCAGCGACCTCTCGCTTCTGTAAATGCAGTACCTCTCGCTTCTGTAAACAAATCTGTATAGCCATAACCTTCTTTCGCATTAGAATTGTTTTTTTGTTTCGCCGGAAAAATGATAAGTGTAACGAATTGTTATGAAATTTCACGTGAAACTTGGAAAAACCGCTACTGAAACTTATAATTTATTTAAAGAAGTGTATGGCCATGAATGTTTATCGCGTGCACGTGTTTTTGAGTGGTTTAAGCGTTTCCAAGACGGCCGAGAAGACGTTGAAAAAAGCTCGAATGAGCAAATCAAAATTCAAAGCAATGATGATTGTTTTTTTCGATATTCATGGGATTGTGTACCTTCACTGAGTTCCTGAAAGTCAAACTATTAATCAACATTACTACCTTCACGTTCTTGCTGAACTCCGTGAAAGAATAAGGAAAAAACGACCCGAATTGTGGAAAGACAAGTCATGGGTTCTCCACCAAGACAATGCGCCGGCTCATTCCGCATTGTCTGTCAAGAGGTTTCTAGCCAAGTACAGCATCCCAGTGTTAGACCATCCGCCTTATTCGCCGGATCTTGCACCGACTTCTATCTGTTTCCTAAAGTGAAATCTGCATTAAAAGGAACAAGATTTGAGTCCGTTGAAGCTGTGAAAGAGAAAGCGGCACGCGTCCTGAAGGAGCTGACAGAAGAAGACTTTCAGCACTGTTTCAAACAATGGAAGATTCGCATGGAGCGTTGCAGGGATAGAGGAGGGATGTATTGAAGGTGATAATAAGTAAATATATATGAAATCAAAATAAAATGTTTTACAGCGTCAGTCTCGTTATTTAATAGTCACATCTCGTATTTCTCATTTGCAAAAATTAATAAAACAATTTCTCTCTATTTTTTATGAGATAATCTCTGTATAAAATGTTAAATACAAAATTTTGTTTAATGTAAAATTTAATGTAAATTTTGTTTAATTTAAAAAAAAGATGATGTAAAAAATATATTTTTCTTAATTTTTTAACATGCTTCATGTAGATCCTTTTATTTCTATTTAGTTATCTGGATATGTAATTGCCATAATAAATTCATTTTAAAAAATGCATCACTTCATTGTAATTGGACGAAAGCATTCGCAGAAAGATTCAGTAAGTAGTTTGTTTCAAACTCTAAGTGTTAACGTCAAGATTTCTGATAAAACTCATTATATTTAATGGACAGTTACATTTAAGACTATGTAACTTAGTTTTCAGTCATATCACACATTACTTTCAGTTACTTGCTTGACCACAAGCTTCCATTACATTACTTAAAATTCATTAAGGTATTTCTAAGAGTGATAGCTGCGGAGTGTCATGCCAGCTAGAGCGTTATCACTTTCTTACGAATAATAATTTATTAGAACAATTACATATCCAAGTGAGTTCATACTCGAAATGAAAGAAAATGTTAAAAAATAGGGAAACATCCTTTCCTTATAAAAAGATTTACATTTTTTCATAATATTGAACAAAATTTGATTGTAAATTTATTTTTATAAACGATACGACATATAAGATACTTTTTCTAATGTAAAATTCTTAAAAAATAATTATCTAAAAGAAATAACGATTCTTATTAATGAATTAAAATTATGTCGAGACACATTTTTAATTCCGGATAAAGGAATTTGATTTTTAAAATATTGGTAAAATCCCAAGTAAAAAAATTGCAAAGAATTTAATGGAATAAAACAATATTCTTAAGCTAATATTAAAGAACTCAAAGCCTTATATGGTAATGCTGCCGCATTAAATTTATATTGTGACATAACAATAATTAAATGAATTAAAAATTAAAATTTTATGTCAGGACATAATCAAAATTATTTTTTATTTCAGTTTTAGACACAATTTAAATTAACTGAATTACTATTATGTACGAGGCGTAATAAAAGTTCGAAATTATCATATTATGTCAGGATATAATTTTAATTCATAAAATTTTTATTATGCCTTTACATAATTATAATTCGTTGAATTATTATTACGTAACAACATAATTATAAACCGGCAGCTAGAAATTTAAATTCTTCAATATTAGCCTTAGAATATTGTTTCCTGTTGTTATAATATAAAATAAAATGGTTTGCCATATGCATGTCGTTATTAGCAATTTTAACCATATTAAGACATTAAAATATCTGTACACAAAATTAAAATTATGTTGCGACATAATAATAATTATAAATTTCTGTTGTGATATAAATTTAATTTGTATAATTATAATTATGTCGTGACATAGTATTAATTCATTGATAAAGATTGTAATTTTTTTAGACAATTACTTTTTAAGAGTTTTTTTACACCAGTAAAGATATCTTTTATGCTGTTTTATTAAAAATAAAGCAGCTCACCAAAAAATTCTCTTTAATATTATAAAGAGAAGATAAGTCTTTTTTATAAAGGAAGAAATCTTTATTTTTTATAATGCTTTACATATTTTCTTTTGAGCATGAGTTTATTTGGATATCTAATTGTTGTAAAAAATTCTTTAAAAGAAAATTCATTATTTCAGAACACTACTTAAAATCATTTACAAGAAAATTCATTAAAATAATTCATTTTAAATTTAAGTGTTAACGTAAAAGTTTATAAAAAAGAATTGGATTGCTTAAAAAATAATTTAACATAAGACAGAATTCATTCCTTCTGCTTATTCAAACCTCCAAATGTTGATAATGAAAAAGTTTTTATCATTCTTGTTTCATATTTTCTTAATATGTTTACATTTTAGAAACTTTTTAAGAAATAACCAGTCATCTGTAATAGATAGTTATATGGAGAACTTTTTATGAGAAAATTAATTAAAAAGTAAAGTGAATAAGAAAAAGATAATATTTCTATTCTTTACAAAAGGAAACTTACTTTTGAATTTGCAAAGAAAGATTTTTTAAATAATTTGTAAGCAAAAAGATTATATTTTTTATGTAATCTATAATTTGCTACGTTGAGAATTCTTGTATCCCTTGTTAAAATTTTCCTGAAAGAAAATTTTGCTTCTGATAGAAGGAATATGTTTAATGCAAAACAAATTTTTTGATGATTTTTTGATGATTATTATGATGTGTAAGAATATTGCGCGATAACAGCGAAGCATAGCAGCGCGGCGGAGTGCACACTACTAGGCGCACGGTTCACGGACGTGCGTCCGTTTAAAAGACGGTGCTCATTGGATTAGCTTTACTCGATGATAATTGCATCATGCAGCACTGTACAAAAAAATAGCTCAGAAAATTTTGATTCAATTTTAGATCAGGATTAGCGCTATATAATTAGAGTCCGCTTTTTAAGAGACACCCTGTATATCATTATATACATTATATATTGTACAATTTAACATATTACACATTTATTAGTATAAATATACTATGACATTGGGTTTGTCTTAATGCCAAAACACCGTGTCTCCAGATCAGTAATATCTCTATATTTGAGCATAGATAACTTCTATTTCTCTTTTTTGATAGACATAGCA